ATACTTAAAAGCATCATAATCACTGACTTAAATGAATTTAACTGTTTTTACTATTCATTCACATGACCTAGTCTTAGACCTTATTTGTTTCAAAATTTACAACATAGCTATAAACTCTCACTAAAACATGCATATTACTGACCTCAAGTAGGCAATTAAGTAAATAACCTTATAAGGGTCCTGGCATTGATCTCAGCTGCACCATATCCTGAATCTTTTTATTTTTTTAGATAAGCATAAAGACTTAAGAGTAAACTTACAGCAAATCATAGCCTATACATGTGTAATTGCTACACTTCTCAATGAGTCTAAAACAGACTTGTTTTTACCAGGAGAGCTTTGTGCTAAAGCATCCACAATATGATTTCTGACCAATCACATAAACTTAAAAAACATCTGGCTAAAGCTGAAGGTGCCATCAGGAGCCCTTTAGCTGGGATTTCCAGACATGATTCAAATTCATTAATACTGTGCTGTGAGTATTAACAGCAATCTTAACTGTTCTAGGGCTGGTAACACAGAGCCAATAATTTTGCCTTCTAGGACTAAACTGAATGAAGCCAAAGAGAAAAAATAACATTTAGAAAATTAATTTCATTAATGATTCTAGTTAACACCCACTTTTCAAGTTTTATCATTCAAAATACATTTTTTCTATCAAATAGAAGTCTATGGATTATGTTGGCAAAATAGATGCTAATATCTAGAACCTTAAAACAGTTCTGGTATATAGAAAATCTAATAAAGAACACAGTTTTACTATTTAAGTTATGTCATCCTTATGAGACTGAAAAAAGTCAATGTTTAACATTAACACTTCTCTATATTGCTAATACACATTTCAAAGTCTATCTAAATCCCTCAAAAAGTATTTGAGGTTGTTTTGAAAATGAATAATATGCTTCTTCCAGAAAATGAAATTTTGTCTTATCATTTCCAAATAATAAACAGTGTTTCTACTTAAGGTTGGGATTGGGGCAGGGAGGGAAGGAGTGTTAGAAGAAAAAAAATTCAGCAATTTCTCCATGCAACTAAAGTTGGTGCACAGATAGATGCTAAAGCCTTGGTAAGATATTAAGCAATCACAGTATTCCCAATCAAACAGAAAATGTTGCACAGTTAAAATGTATGTTATTCTTCTTCTCCCATCCCATACCTGAACATGCAGGAAGGTACAATTTGGGGATAGGTCAGATAAAAATTAAATAGAGATGTTTCTAATTTATAGTAGTTTAAGCTTTCCTCTCCTGCCTCAGTTTCCAACCTTTACAAAGGTAATATTGCATTCGAGGCAACCAAACAAATTACTGTGCAACAAGCTGTGGAAAGTGAATGCTTAAGATATTGTAAACTTCACTCTGCCAGAAAACCATTCTCTTTTCAGTCCCAATTCTAACCACTTTAGCTCTGAGAACAACTCCAAATACCCAGAATGCAAATATTTTCCTATTACATTAACTAGATGGCTATAGAGAAAATAGAAATGAAGATGTTTAAAACAACAGTTGCACAAGATTTGATTAAAATAATGATAAAAATTCAAAAGTCTACTGAATAGCATTAACTTTAAGAAAATGATACAACTTTATTGAAATGATTTCAGTCCTGAGCATCTGATGAAGTATTATCAAAACCCCAGGAGAAAATCGTCAACTCTATTATAGTTTTCTACCACATTATACCTCCACACTTGCTTCAAATCAGCTCTAGGTGGGACAACCTATGTTTTACTATTATTACCTGCTAGATAGCAGATAACTAGATAGAAAATCTAAAATTTAATTTTGAACTTTGGCCATACAAAAAAATTAGTGCTGAAAAGAACTGTCTTGAGCTCAGCAGCAGTCTTGGTTTTAGTCTCATGGGTTAGAAGGCTTCCCTGTCACTACATGAAAAACAATATTACAAATTTTGAAAAATAAGTCGGTATAGTATTTTACTTTCTCCCATTTGGAAAAAATTATTATGAGAAAAAAATGCATCATAAGAACAAAAATAAGAGTTTCAATCTGAGGATCATACATGCTTGATTTAACCTGTTTTAGTAATTATCATCTCCAAGGTAGCCCCTTAGATGAAGAATTTTCAAGTCATGTGAAACATTTAGAGGTATACCTTGAACACCACTGACCATTAAAGACATTATCAAGAATTTAAACATTATAGTTTGCATATTCTATGCCAGGCAGGGTGCTAAGCACTTGCATTATTTCTTGAAGTCCTTACTGTAATTCTGTGAGGTAGTTGATACTACTATCTATACTTTACAGATGATAAAACTCAGGTTTAGAGAAGTTAAATAAGTAGACTAAGGTGACAATACTATATATAAAGTGGCATGAAAGGTCATGATCTGACTCAAGCACCCATGCCACGAGCTATTATGTTATATTTTGTCAAATGCACAGAAATACACCAGGTATCTGTATTGTTGCAATTTCTGAAATTGTTAATGGGGGCTCAATATTTTTGGAGCAAATCAATAGTTCACAATTGTAAAATATTAACCTTGGGGCTTAGCTTGACTGGCTCAGTTATCTTGAAGATGAAAAGGAAAATCTAGTTAATTATGCAGGTACACATGGTATTTTTATGCCTTGACTTGTTCAAGCACATAATTTAGTACCTCAAGAATGTAATGGTTCTTTTTATTCTTCTTAATTAATAGATGTTAGATTAATCTGTAATTGGAGAAGCTTTTTATTTAAGTTTAGAACTTGAAAAATGCATCACGGCAAAGACAAATATGTAAAGCAAGAAGAATCCTCACACATTCTCCACAACTAAAGATCTTCAATAGATGTTTAGGCTAAGTTGAGAAAACGCTTTTGCCAGAAGAGAAGAAAAAATTGTTTTGAGTAACTTTCAAAGAACTTTATTTGTGTAACCTTAAAACATTCTAAAGTGTTTGTGCTAAAATAATAAGAAAAAGGAACCAAGACCGCACTCACATCAAAGTGAATTTCAAATCTTGTTCATGATGGCAAAGTCACACATGAAGGCGTTAGAAATGTAATGGATAGTCATGTTTATGCTTTCAAATCAACAGTGATAAATCAAATGGGTTCAGGTGACTCCAAATTCAAACACAACTAAACCTAAAATGAAAATGTATTTAAAAATACCTTAACAGAAATCTGAATATTTGGGATAACCAAATAAACTACACTATGACTGGGACCACTTAATGATCATAGTATCATTTCTTTTTTCAACCTGAACAAACTCATGGGTTAAAATCAACAGACATTAGTAGTGGTAGAACTCAGAGACTGGAAAGAGACATTATGGATACTCCTCACAGGAATATAATAAGTATTTGACACCATTTATAAACTGCATCTGAAGAATAGCACTCTATGCTACCAGAAAAACAAAAGGATTCCAACCTTTCTACAGGCAACAGAATTTAGCATGCAAAGGACAAATCCCTGTAAGGAAGCAAGCAAGAAAGCCCTCTTCTGTAAAGTCACTGCTCATTGACCTTCGGAAGCTTTAAAGATTTATACTAGTGTCACCAAAATGAGTGATATTTATAGAGCCCAATATAGATAAACAATTCCTCCACTACCTAGTCTAGAAAAAAAAGCTGCTTATTTTTAACATAAAAGCTTATTAACAAGATACCCTTAAGAAAAAAGTAAAACTTGACTTTGAATCCTTGATCAACAAAGGATATTACCTTCAATTGGCAAAGTTCAAAGAAAATTGGTGCTCTTTTGTCAACTATGGGACTACTCAAGGCTGCAGATTCCAGAGACTTCCAAGCACTTACCAATTCCTACCTCTTTTCTCTTCTCCTTACTCCAAATCTTCAAGCCTTAAACACAATTATCAAAAGGTTGGAAGAGTTTTTAGATGCCTGCTACAAACTGTCCTACCATAATTAGAGAACTGGAAGTGGCTTTTCTCAATTTCAGATGTTAGCATCTCATCTGTTTACTCCCTTGACACTGTGCATGATGTTTGTGCCATAGCTATTTTAAAACAAAAATCACCAGGATTTAGGAACATTGATAATGGGGTTATCAATAAATTATTTTGACATAATTATTTAAATATTTTTTGGTTTGTTTCAGAATGCAGTTAAAGACAAAGGTAAAATAATCTATTACACTGATAACAGGTTTGGGGATTTGGTGAGGATACTACTAAAAATACATCCCATTTAAAAAATGAAACAGAAAACATTTTATAAAAATAAAGAACACCCTGTGATTTTCATTAATTATATCATTAACTATTTTAAACCAAAATATGTTCTAATCCAGTTTGGTTTACATTTTTGTTAAAAAAGGCAAGAGTAATGTGTTTACATGAATAAATTTTAATAATTTAATAAAAATATTTATAGATAATTAGAGTCAAGCTCTCAGAGATCTATTTAAAAAGTACTTAGGCATGTAATTCTCCTGAAATTGTTCTTTGCCAGCTTAAACTCTATATAATTCTTTTTCATCGTTTTCTCCACTTATTTGGCTTGCTGTTCCCAGTTAAAGTTGCTGATTAGCTCAAAACAGCAAAATAATCACGTCTTTCTAGATGTTCCATATGTTTCCCCTTAAGCCATTTTATTGAGCATAGTGCAACTAACCAAGTGCTTATCTGTATTTATTATGTAAAAAATTTCAAATGAAGAAAAACTATTAATTTTTTTGAAGTTGTTATTCAACTAGGAACATGGCTAATACTATTTAAACAACCCAATTAGCTGAGTATCCTTCATACAATACAGTGATTAAAACAGTTTCTTGACCTTTTGTGTGACACATGTTAAAATTTCCTCTTAACTTATGTTAGGTATTATATTCTCAAGTACTGGTGCAGTGTTGGAGCTGTCATATTACAGATAAAGTATGTTCATTTAAAGTGACAGGAACTGAATCATTCTGAAGGGAGCAGGGGAAGGACATAAGCATGCACTCAACCTTTGTCCCTGAAGCGTTACTATGGGTTTCAGAACATTAATTAATTTAAAGCACATGCTGCTGAGTCAGTACCTGCCAGAAATCCTGATCAGAAGATGAGAAAAGGAAAAAAAAATTTGACATTGATTACACAAACAAAAACTCCAAAATCAAATACATATATCACAAACTATTATAACATATAAAGGACCAATGAATATCTGTAATAACATCACTGAATATCTGGAAATAGGAAATGAGGAATACATAGAAATATTTTATATAGTATTTGCTAGGTACATAACACAAAACAAAAACATTAACAACTCAATTCCTAATCTCCCCTAAATGAAACACATAATTGTAGAAAAACTTCACCTTACTATAAAAAGAAAACACATGAATAATTCATTACCTGTTTTTAAAGAAAAGGGAGGCAAACAGTACATTTTTTTTTCATGGGTAGCCAAAGCATTTCTTCAATTAAGGTTCCCTATTAGGATGTTTCACTATCATTTCATGGATGAGGTATTTTTTAACTTCGTGGCAAATTCTTTGCTTTACCATCCATGTAAACATAAGATAGCCAAATTCGGATGAATTCTGAGGATAGTAACTACTCTAAGGAAGAGTTCAGAATGCCTACATATAACAGTCAAATTTTGTTCATTTCCTGCAAAATTATGTTGCACTAGATGAAGTACTATTCACATTAGTAATAAAAAGCCAGCCATTATGGAGGCCGGCATTTGGTGAAGCAATATAGGTTAGCTAATTTAGCTGGGTAGCACTCTGAAATATCTTCAAATATCAAATGATTTTAAAGATATTTTTCAACAAATAACCTTCACTGGCTGTGAATAAAATTTGACCTGAATTTAACATACTTTGCAAGCCATGCTTAGTTGCATGATAACAGTTCTTAACAATATGCTATTAGTAACTTTCAAGCCCAAGGCTAGGATTGATGTGACGGACGTGCAAAGGATTTTATAGCACAGGAGCGAAATGATTCACTGTGAACAGGGCACAGCTCAGATACGAGAAATCAAACCAGAGGTCTGTCTCTCTTCAGTTCATGGACTAGATATTTAATCCCAACTAATTGCTCATTACAGTGATAGCACAAGATTTACAGCTGATTTAACTGGGAAGGAAGGAACCCTGGAGAGAGCTATTATGCGAGGGTACACTACTCTAGTATTTCATACAATCCAAGAATGATGACAATATATATGATAGCAGCCGCCTGCTTTCATAAACTGAGTAAAGGGCTCAAAGTCATGCAAATATCTATAATTTGTAGAGCTGGATACTTAACCTATCATCATGATTTTACGGAGGAGGTAAGCGACAGAAAGGTTAAGTGGTCTCTTGCCAAAGTCACCCACCAATAATGTGGCAGTGTCTATATAATTATCTATATCAAAAGTCACACTCTTTTCATCCTGTGCTATTACACACTCAGAAGTACACCAATCTATAATGCTGTACTTTTCATACTCAACTCGGAATACTTACAACATCTACTAATTATTTACATATAGATGTCAAATACTGACATGCTCAAAATGGAAATCCTTGGAAAATATTTCAGGCAGCAAAGCCAGATTTTCTTAAATCTGTGGTGTGTACAAAAGAACCAGAGAAAAATGAGAAAATGCTTTTAAAATAATGTTAAGAATGTTGGATGGGAACAAAGGAAGATGAAAAAAACAGACTAAAAATAAAGCAGAATATTCCAAAAGGTGCTAAAGATTTCTTGAAATGCTGAATCAGTACCTGAATTCACTTTAACATAACTGCATTCTCAACTTTTGCTTGTCTGAAGACTGATATGAGTAACCCCATTCAGATGATGCTATGCTTAACACACACCAAATCAATATTTGAAAGAGTAAATAGTTTAGTTTGTAACAGAGACATTTTTTCTATTATCTTGATTACAATGAGCCAAGATCCAATTTTTCAAATACAGATGACAGCGCTCACTTTAACAGTGATGGCTTCAATTAAATAAAAAGAGCATTTTCAAAATACCAATTGGTGCTCCTGGCATATGAGAAAATAATAGACCAAACAACAGTGAAGTTGAAATTCTGATTTTTAAACTCAGGTATTAGAATTTGTATACCACTTTTTTTTCCCCTTAATATGAAACACTATGTAACTTCTGAGGTTGGTAAAGGTTTTATTAGCTATACTTTATCAAAGTAGAAAAAATTAACTTTACTCAGCAAAAAGAAAGTGAAACACAGGGATCCGGACGATGCTTCGGTTGTGGCTGCATCCAGCCCACCGTCTCCTGGACTTGCCATAAGAAGGAGGAGGGAGATGTCTAGGCTGGCATGTGCATACAGTGAGACAACGAATTTGACTGGATCTGTACTGTTGGAACTCAACCAGGAGTTGGGAGGGGTGCAAGTTGCAGCACCCCAAAATCTCATGACTATAGACTATCTATGGTTAAAAGAACATATGGGATGTGA